CCGTCATGAAGGATGGCGCCAACATGGAGGACGCCGTCATGAAGGATGGCGCCAACATGGAGGACGCCAACATGGAGGACGCCAACATGGAGGACGGCGCCAACATGGAGGACGCCGTCATGAAGGACGGCGCCAACATGGAGGACGCCAACATGGAGGACGCCATTATGGAGGACGGCAACAACATGGAGGACGGCAACATGGAGGACGCCGTCATGAAGGATGCCGCCAACATGGAGGACGCCGTCATGAAGGACACCGCCAACATGGAGGACGCCATTATGGAGGACGGCAACAACATGGAGGACGCCGTCATGAAGGACGCCGCCAACATGGAGGCGGCGTCCTCCATGTTGGCGGACATGGAGGACGCCAACATGGAGGACGCCATGTCCTCCATGGCGTCCTCCATGGAGGACGACATGTCCTCCAACAACATGGAGGACGCCGTCAACATGGAGGACGCCGTCAACATGGAGGACGGCGCCAACATGGAGGACGCCAACAACATGGAGGACGCCGTCATGAAGGACGGCGCCAACATGGAGGACGCCAACATGGAGGACGCCGTCATGAAGGGGGGNCCAACATGGAGGACGCCGTCATGAAGGACGCCGCCAACATGGAGGATGCCAACATGGAGGACGCCAACATGGAGGACGCCGTCATGAAGGACACCGCCAACATGGAGGACGCCATTATGGAGGACGGCAACAACATGGAGGACGCCGTCATGAAGGACGGCGCCAACATGGAGGACGCCATCATGGAGGACGGCAACAACATGGAGGACGCCAACATGGAGGACGCCATTATGGAGGACGGCAACAACATGGAGGACGGCAACAACATGGAGGACGCTGCCAACATGGAGGACACCGCCAACATGGAGGACGCTGTCATGAAGGACGGCGCCAACATGGAGGACGCCAACATGGAGGACGGCAACAACATGGAGGACGCCGTCATGAAGGACGCCGCCAACATGGAGGACGCTGTCATGAAGGACGGCGCCAACATGGAGGACGCCAACATGGAGGACGCCGTCATGAAGGACGGCGCCAACATGGAGGACGCCATTATGGAGGACGCCATCTCAGATGGGGAACCAGCAGAGAGAAGAGGCAGCAAGACTCTCCACAGCTAAAAAGGAAAGGTCCAGTAGCGGATATCCACCAGCAGAGGGCAGAGTCGAGCACAGCCAGAGGAATAGCAGCCAGAAGAACAACATCATCTTCAGCCTGAAGACAAAGGGAGGAGGAGGACGAGATAAATGTGAGAATAAAGGAGGAAAGAGAAAGGAGGATGAGAGAAAATAAATAGAAAGAAGCTAAATCAGTCACTGACTGGTTCTCAGAGGCTTTTTCTTATTTTCAGTTTTCAGATTAGAAATCTGAACCTGGAGTTCAGTCTAGTCAGACATAACGAATCAAACACTGAAACGAGATTCAATCTTGACTGAAGGTTCTGACGCTGTAAGGATATCCACCAGACAACGCAGGAGTCGGTCAGAGCCAGAACCACGTCACACACTATCAGGCTCCGGTCATCGTTCCCCCGATCCTGCAGAACACATGGGTTAGACCGGGCCAGAACTGGGCCACAACTGGGTTGGAACAGGTCCAACAGAACCTGGCCAGCGGGTGAGAACCTGAGCCACTGAAACCGGGCCAGCGGGTCAGAACTCACCGTGTGGACCCGCAGGATTCCCTCGATGATGGAGAAGAGCAGGTAGAGCAGGCCGACGCCGACCACTCTGTGCAGCAGGGCACCCAGCCTGGGCCTGGCAGAAACAGGGGGGTAGAAGGTCACAGGATTAAAGGTCATTATAGCGTAGAAATAAAGAAAATCTACAAATCTGGGAATCATGGGAATCATTTAGCATCCTTAACATCAACTCTGGATGCAAAACACTGAGTTTGTTTTTCTTATGTAATTAAAACACATTAAAACAGATTGCTGTGAGTTGCCAGAGTGAGGCATCTCACAGCAAAGATCCTCTATGCAGGACAAGAGGAAGTTCAGGAGAGAACCCGACAGATCCGTCAGCAGTGTTCTCGATTATTTTAATCTTTGAGACATGTTAATAAATACATGCTGTCAGAACCCTGAACCGGCTAGGAAGTGATTCATGGTTCTGGGCGACCCGTTCTCTCCAGGTCTGGTTCTGTTGTACCACTGGGGTCACTGTTCTCTGATGGCAGCAGCAGCTGGACTCACTTGACAATTCCGTATCCCAGACTGGCAATGATCACCAGAACTCTGGCCAGCGTCCGCTTCACGGCCGAAAGCACCTCGGCAAACACCACTGCTCCCTGGACTGCAGAAGGACACATGACAGCTCAGGAGGTAGAACCAGGAGGAGGAGACGTTGGCTAACAGGCTGACATGATACCTGGCTAACAGGCTGACATGATACCTGGCTAACAGGCAGACATGATACCTGGTTAACAGGATACTTGGCTAACAGGCTGACATGATACCTGGCTAACATGATACCTGGCTAACAGGCTGACATGATACCTGGCTAACAGGGTACTTTGCTACCAGGCTGACATGATACCTGGCTAACAGGATACTTGGCTAACAGGCTGACATGATACCTGGCTAACAGGCTGACATGACATCTGGCTAACAGGCTACCTGGCTAACAGGCTGACATGATACCTGGCTAACAGGCTGACATGATACCTGGCTAACAGGCTGACATGACATCTGGCTAACAGGCTACCTGGCTAACAGGC